AGAAAGAAGGAGAGGGAAAGAAGAGAGAACAGAAGAGAAGAAAGAATGAGAATGAGAGGTGTGTGAAAAATGAGAAGTGAAGCCCCCTATTTATAGGAATTCTGGCTCACCTACCACTACGGCCCGTTCTAAAAGCGGAACGGCCCGTTCTGGGCCCTTCAAACCTACGTAAATTTCTCAACTAGAACGGCCCGTTCTAAAACCAAAACGGCCCGTTCTCAATCCCAGCAGAACGGCCCGTTCCAGTTTCAGAACGGCCCGTTCTCCAAACCAGAACGACCCATTCTCCAACCGGAACGGCCCATTCTCAACTACGTTTTTAGGCAAAAACTTTATTTCGGAACGGGCCGTTTCAAAAGCAACGAATTGGGCCCAAGGCCTAGTGAAAATTGGGCTGTTACACCTATGCTTGACCTCATTTAGGGAGAGATCCTCTACTTAACTCATGTTCGACGCCATGAAACTCGACGTCATTTAGATAGAGAGTTAATGACCTGATCACACCTAATGCCACTCATCTTAGGCTCAACGTCACCAAGTCGGAGAGCTTTAAGAGCAATTACACTTGACACCCCTCAACCCACGCTCAAGGTGATCAACACAGAGAGTTCTCCTCTAATTTAAGTATGATGTAACCAATCCCATGTTCGACATTAGTGAGGTAGAAAACCTCTAACTTGCATCATGTATGGCGCCATGAAGCTGCGTCAGGTGCGATGGTGGTTTCTACACTTGGCATAATTGCAAATTAGCTCTAACACCTAAAAATCAACTACTAAAACAACATGCAACACAAGAAAACACACCTACACAACATTATCAACTAGATATATCATAATTTTCAACATTCAACCAATAAATCTCTTAAACCATCATTTTCTTCTCAAATTCTTCAAAAAAAAACATCAAAACCCAAAACATAATATATTTGTGAGATCAAAAGGAAGGCTAAAGTATCATCTGTAATCCCTTGAAGTGTTATAAGTTTTTATGATAATAAACATTTATCTAAACAGATTAGAGTTTCATAAAAATGCCTTTCTTCAAAATAACAAACAAGAAGCCAATTTTTTTTCAAAAGAAAGCATTTCAGATGAAGCAGTGACATAGTTCATCTGTAAGACAAAGCACACCAAACGAAGTATATGATCTGGAATAAATGCCATATTTATTTCTTGTTATATTGTCAGATTATTCCTTGAAGAAACATTAATACTTTATTCCTTAATAGATCGAATAAGGAAGGTTTTTTTGAAGAAAATGAAAGCTTTCAAAAAGGGAATGCAAATTACTATGTTAAGATAGAAAGAGAAAATCCTGGATATCTCGGACAAGACACTAAAAAGAACGGCTCTGCTTTGACACTACTCTGTCACACTCAAAACATAAGAAATAGATGATAAATAGTTGGCTAGATCAGATAGGGGATACCTGCATCTCTAACCAGCATTTAATACTTGCATTAAGTGCATCTACAGTGCCCTATGAAGAATAGTTGGAAAGACAAACGAAGCAATTCAAGAAAATTTGAACGTTTAAATTTTGAACGTTACTACAACGGTCATCTCCTCTAAAGTTGTTATATAAGGGTCAAGCCCTCAAATAGAAAAGGGACGGAGAGACGAGTAAGAATGCACAATGCGATTAAGGATGAGTAAAATACGAAGTAAAAAGAGCGTGCACGCAAAAACAAAAAGAAAGCGCTGAAAATAAAAAAGCATCATAGCAGAGCAAAACTCACGTAGTGAGAAATAAACAACTAAAGCTCTATGAAGAAGAAACTTATAGCAAATCATGTATAAAATTCTTTGTAGATTACGTGCGCCAAAATTTTATAGCACCACGTCTAGAAGAGACGAAGTTATTTTTCTTGTAACTCTTATCAATTGTATTTGTAAGGATTAAGCTTAGAGATACTTGTTTAAAATAAAACTTGGTGGTTAAGTTTAGAGAGACTTGTTGAAAGAATACTTGGGTTTAAGCCGAGAGAGGCTTAGTGAAGGAATATTTGGTTTTAGCCACAAGTGACTTGGTAAAGAATACTTGTATCTTGTTGAAGATAGTAGAACTCAATCTAGTTGGATTGAGAACTAGATGTAGTCTCTAGGTTGGAGATGAACTAGTATAAAAATACTTGTGTCATTTTATCTGTTTTACCACTTCATTTGATTACCTTCCAATATTTCATCTGTTTACGTTTTTCACTGCTTCACTATAAAAACGTAAGTTTTTGATATACATTATTCAACTTCCCCTTCTAGTGTGTATCTTTTTTTCCAACAATATCTTTTCTTCAATTCAACAATGCAGCTACAAGAAATGAAACTCAAGTTATAATCAACACATATAATACAACTATGATTCAACATGTAAGCTTCCCTTCCCTTAGATCACCTAGAACAAAGGTAGACGAAAGAACAAGATCCTCTGGGAACTCCACATGACAACATCGAGGTCTCTGATTCTTAGCTCCAAAAGCTTTGAATATCAACTCAGCTACTCAATCAAACTTAGGGGAACTCTCTACGAAATCAATAGGAGGAAAGAAGACTATCTCTAGCTCTAAAACTTTTATCTTTAACTTTCTCTCTCTAGATTTCTTAGGAAATGAACTTATGAAGTTCAAGTCTTAAGGAAAACTTTATATACCATCCCTTAAACTTTGTCAACTTTGATCTCAACTCAAAATAACTTCTAAAGATCTAAACTTATAAGAATTATTTAATCCTTAATGTTTTACAATAATTGAACAGCTAAACATGCAATCAATACAATCAACAATTATCATTAAAATTTCACATGTTACAACTCACATTTTAAGCTTTGTTGCCCTAAGTGTTTAAGATTAATAGCCTATGTATTGTCTAGTAATTTTGTTGATCGAACTTTTGTCTTGTGTATTGTTTAGTTATTTCGATAACCAATTACCAACTGTTCTTACCGAAAATTTGTCGTAGAGACGGTCTTCCGAGCAAGATTGGTGAGCCTCCTTCGCGGGTACGCTGGTGCTCCAAGATGGGGGTGGTACCTGCAAAAGAGACTCCGATGCCAAAGTTAGTGTTTGTGGGAGTATGAATCTCGTATAAGTAATGCACGTATCTTAGTGTGAATTAGGGTTGCTTTGGGCCTTGGGCCTGAGATAAGATATGATAAGATCTTGAGATAAGATATGATAAGATCTTGAGATAAGATATGATAAGACCTTGAGATAAGATATGATAAGACCTTGAGATAAGATATGATAAGATCTTGAGATAAGATATGATAAGATTAGATAAGGGATCTCGTCTGGAGCGAGATCCCTTGAGATCAGTTATGATCTACTTAAATGCCGAGCTGACGTCGCGTAGCGCGTGCTCGAGGTCATCTTGCGTTGTGATGTCGAGCTCGGAGCTCGGCTTCACAGCACGGACAGTACACTAGCCCCCCGAGCTCCGAAGACCATAGGTCGAGGAGTTAAGACCGAGCTCGCTGGAGGGGAGTGACCTTTCGCGCATGCTTGCCTGTCAAGATGCCTTGTGTTGCAACTGTCGCCTCGTTCTCGAGAACGTGTAGGCGGCATGGTAACAAGATTGTATTTTTATCTGTTTCATGACGTGTCCTCTTTGGGCCGATGTGGTATTTTGATGTCCATGTTTCATGCCGAGCTGAGGAACTCGACAATGATGGGTTTACTGCTTGGTCAGGCTGGTAAACCTTTGATTGAGTCAATGGATTGGTGAGGGACAAGTCGGCAACTTGGCTGGCCAGTACACCAACCTTAAGCATCTTCATCCGTAGGCACTTGAGATTGAGGAGCTTTGTATTTTTCAGTCGAGTTCGATTAATGGTTCTTTTTGAGGTTAGTTGGTCGACGATTAGTTGATAAAATTAAAATGTTGTGCTAATATTTGTGAGAATTATTTTCGAAAGATAAGAACCAATACGTGCAGGCTCAAGTACATAAATGGACTCTAAGGTTAAGATAAACATGTTACTTTTTGAATATTCTTAGACAATTGTTTAAGTTTTTTTTAGAGACATCCTCTATATAAAAACAATTAAAGATTTATATATATTTTTTATAGATTATAAATATCTTTTATTAAAGACACTAACTTTTATAATAATTACTTAAAATTTATATTTAAAATAAATTTTAATAAATTAATAAAAAAAAATTTCGCTAACTATATGTGCAACTTACATATTATCCTTACTTTTACGTTAAATAAAATAGAAAAAAAGATGTTAAAGCTTCATAGAATAGCTACTGACACAGAAAATCATATCCGAAACAAAATATTAAATAGTATATATAATTTACACTCCATAATAATAAATCAAGAAAAATCAAAATACATACTTCAGTTTCTCTTGCTTTCCATCCCCTACCCAAAATATAAAAAAAAAACTTAGGTTATTATCACATTAATCCAAATTCATAAGAGCGTACAATTTTTACATAAAAAATTAGATTACTTATTTTTCTTCAACAGAGTTGCTAAGTGGTAAAATAAAATTTCCGACATGATTATATAAGAAAATAAAAAGGTACCCTTTGTGACCTCATCCTTTTGTAAGGTGCTTTGTTGTGACGAGTGCCCATATTAATGTTCATGTGTGTGCAATTCCTTCTTTGCCTATCTCCGATTCTTTATTTACTTTCCAATGAAATCTTGGAAGACCAACATGCTTCTAAGACGTTCCATTCTCCGAAAACCCACGAGCACTAGTTTCAACCAAATTTAATAACATGTTACACTACCCGATGCATAATTTAGATTGCTGGGTAATGGTCCCCCATTCTCCTTTTTCCCAACCAGGAAAATAAAAAATAAATAAAGTCATCCATATAAATAGCAATTAAAGGAAAAAGAATCACATACATTACATATACTTTGCCAATATAATAAAGGAAAGGAAATACTTTGTGACATTCAATTAGTGACTAAAAAACGATCCATGAATTAAGATTTAAAACCCATTCGGTATGATGCACATATTATGGGACCCAGTTGCAATACTGAACAATGATGAAACTATGCAACTCAAAATCTGTTTTTCCTTTTTCTACCAATATATCTGTCGCTTGATGGGTAGTAAGGCCTACTCAATCAATGGCATGGATATGTAGTATTATTATTATTGTTATTATTATTTAGCTTGCTAATGGCTTGAATTAAAATGATACTATAGATGAGATTTGGATTATGCAACTTCGAAGTTAGTGCTCTAAATTTAATATAGTAGATAGAGGGGATTGAGAGGAGGGTATGAGGAAGCATGATTCTCTTTTGTCCAAATCCTAAGGTAATACTAATTATAATAAAAGTGGTAAAAGGTCTGAAAAGAGTGATTTATGTATGGTAGAAGATTACAAGTTAGAAGTTAGAAGCAAGGTGATTTGGGAAAAACAAAAGTTCAAATTTCAATAGAAAAGAGTTGAACAAGAGACAGCACAATTCAGTAGCTCGAGGAAGAATTTGAGGAAAGAAGGCAAAGGCTTGGTTTATACTTTATACAGTCAAACCTTGCATCAGGCCACCCATGAAAAACTCAATCTCTATAAAAAAAATAGCAAAATCTGAGTTACTTAAAAATAAATTAGGAGGTTTGGTTTGTTGAATTAAAGGTGGTGTATTTGATTTTATGCATTAGATTAAAGAATGAAAATGGGAGGCATATTAGGAAGGAATGATCCTTTCCCCTGTGTAGGAAACAGCCATCATTGCGCCCAACTCCACTCTCTCTCAATTTAAATAACTCTTCTCTCTCTCTTTCTCTCCCCTTTCACTGATTCACTCAAAGAGTAATGGATCCTTCTTCCACCAACTCCGTCAACGGCTTCTACTCCTTCCTCACGCGAGGAATCGACGATCTGGAGAGAGTGTTTCTCACCACAAATTTCATGTCGATTCAATTCCTCCAAAGGGCACTCTCTCTGCTCAGATCCTTCCACACGCAATTGACACTCCTCGTTCAGAAGCTCCACCTCCCCCTCGGCGACAAGTGGCTCGACGAGTACATGGACCAAACCTCCAAGCTTTGGGAAGCCTGCCACGTCATCAAGTCCGCCGTCTCCGCCATCGACAACTACTCCTCCGCCGCAATAAACATCGCCACCTCCCTCGACTCCCACCGCCACCTCACCCCGCACCTCTCACGCCAGGTCACTATTTTATTTATTTATTTATTTTTGTTTCTTAAAAAGACAATTCTTTTGGGTGAGATGATAATGGGTTATGAAACAGGTTATGAGAGCGATATCTGGGTGTGGCAGAGAGGCGGTGGGGTTGGAGGAGGAGAATCGAGGGTTAATGGAGAATCGGATAGAGCCCTTGTGTTTGCGGATGGAGGAGAGGGTGTCGGTGGAGTCGAAGCTGAACGGGTTCAACGGGTTTAGAGGGGTGTTGTATGCAATGAGGAACGTGAGTTCGTTGCTGCTGATGATACTTTTGTATGGATTGGTGTATTGTTGGGGGGAGTGGTCGGAATTGGTGGTGGGGGGGTATGAGGGGTGTTTGTTTTTGGGGTCGGCGTTTATGATGTCGACGGCGAGGTTGCAGCGGCGGGTGGCGGCGGAGATTGGGGGGGCGCAGGGGATGTTGTTGCATGAGTTTGGGAGGTCGAAGGTGGCCATGGAGGAGCTGAGGGGGGAGTTGGAGAAGGGGGTGATGGAGTGGGAGAGTGTGAGGGAGAGAGTGGAGAATGTCAGGCTGTGTTTTGGGCTTCTCAGATCTGGGGCAGACAACATTGTTGCTCAGATTGATGATTTCTTTGACGAGATTGTCGAAGGGAGGAAGAGGCTTTTGGACTTTTGCAGTCATAGGTGAAATGAAACCAAATCACACAGGTCTCTGTCTGCCTGAAAAAAAAAACAAAAAAAAAAAGGAAAATAGAAACAAAGACAAGGTAGAGGAACAGTTGATGGGGTTGTTGTACCTTTTTTTTATTAACCCTTTTTTTTATAATTAATATTAATATTATTATTATTATCACTTGGGGTCTTCCTCTTTTGGTTTTTCAGTTACTCACAAGTAAAGAAGGTTCTCTCGAATTGAATTTGGTTCTGGGTATGAAAACAACATTGACAATGGATTAATGAAAGAAAGAAAGAAACTTCGATTCCTCCTCTAATTGTTTGCAGCCAGGGAAGAAAGAGACAAAAGGTGTACGAGGGGTAACAGGAAAAGTTAAAAAAAGTTAAGACACTGGTGACTGCACACACAGTAGTGTGTATGATGTTATGGGGTTAATTTTAAATTGCTTTTCTTTTTTTCTCTCTTTATTAAAGATTGAATTTTGAAAGAAGGGTTTTGGTTGGCACAGAACATGACTAATCATTCGTTATAGTCCTGAAAGGGAGGCTTAGAAGGGTAGTGAAAAGAAGCACTCTCAGATTCTTGGACTGCTTTAATGTGAAAGGCAGCTTCTTTTGCTCTCGGGAAGCTTTTGTCTGATTCGGTTCACTTTGAAAGCAATGGAGATGATGATGATGAAAACTTCATCTCACCACATTCTCCCATTGCCTGACATCTCTTTCTCTCTCTTACTCACACTCACAATTTTGTTCTGTTTCATTTTTTTTTTCAACTTGTCCTTTTTGGGGTTAAGGGATGTTACAAAAACCTCAGCGGTCACTTTCTCACTTGTAACCGTATCTCATGCTTTTTGTCCCTTGCCGCAAATTCATGCCTTGCCTCCTCATAAGGGTTCCACATGAATAATGCTTTAAAACTAAACAATAAAATAAGATTGAAAGTGCAGACAGAGACAAAAAAACAAGAGTAATAGTAATAGTATATTGGATATCATCCACTCCGGCATGCTTGATGCCAAACGGGCAGAAATTGTATTTGACCCAGCCTAAAGCAATGGTCATTGTCCAACAATTTACCCACGTTAAAAGTAGTGTTTTAATGTACAAATGAACAATGACAGCTTCTCAATAAACTTTGCTATTCTCATTTTAATTTATATATGCCAATATATTCCACGCAATAAACAGGAATAACAGAAGAAAAGCATATCCAATAACAGACTGTAAAATAATTCAATTAACGTGGTTTAGTAACATTTCTTTTCATGCGTTTTCTATCACGACAATTTCTTCATAATAAAAGAAAGGTAGCCACAACTAAAGTTGTGGTTGAAGAAGAGGGACATTGCTAACTGTGATGTGTAGCGGCTGCATGACGATTTGATTTCCATTTCCATATGTTATTTACATAAGCTAACTAACTAGTAAGAGCAAGGGGAAAAAACCTATAAAAAAAATAATGATGCAATAAGTGTGTTTACACATCAAAATCAAATATCGAATCCTGGCATTGCAAACTGGGTGCTGAATGTCTCAACCCGATTTCTGAGATCAGAAATTTCTTTATTATTCTGAAGGCCCTTGAGAAAATCTTTGTATGATTTCCCATGTTCCCTTTGAACCTTGCCGGTAATCTGAGCTGCCCTCAGAAGAAAATCAGCTATGGTCTCAAAGTCTTCCTCTAAACAGCCTCTTGATGTCATTGCGGGAGTACCTGAATAAATTACCAATGAAATAAAGCAACGTTAGAACATAAACAAAACAAAATGGATAAGACTCAACAGTAATTTGATTTAACATAGAAATTATATAGCAATATAATTGGCTTGAAGTACACAAACAAATGTGACTTAGAAGATACACGATCATCTATGCTCTCCTGCACTAGGAAGTGGTAGGCTGTAGTAGGCATGATAAATACCCAACTTTTTTCTTTACACCAATCAATTCCCTAACACTAACAGATATGATATTTGAGGGACCATTTACTAAATATGTGGAACTATGAGCTAACAGGAATTTATTATAATTTAGAGTTTGATACTTGCTGCATAAAACTAATCACAAGCTATGCAGTAAGCATGGACATTTAATGGCATGGCAAGCATACAATATTTGCTGCACCAGAAATCATATTCAATAGGAGAAATTAAGTAGATTGAAACTATATTACTATACTAATACCATAGCTATAGTTGTACTATATGGGAGGTACATACCAATTCTCACTCCTCCAGGAGAAATCGAACCATAAATGGCACATTTATTGAGAGTGATGTGACACGCCTCGCAGACCTTCTCATAGTTTCTGTCTGTAATACACAATAAAATTACAGAGGGCATGTTGACGTCAATTTCAGGGACATAATTTACATGAGAAGCAAAAAGGAGTATGCGAAATCACGAGTAGCACACACAGCGCGTGCATAAAGGAGCTTAAAATTTGAAATACTCATTAAAAACAAATATATACATTAGCATCTTTTGTCTTTACTACTCAAAATTCAAAACAATAGAGGCCAACTTTTTTATTCTTTTCCCTTTCATCACGATTCCCTATTGGGAATGGATCCTCTGATATACATAGCAAATCGTGTTTAAATATTGTTTTCATGATGTCTCTTCAAACAAAATATTAGATAGATCTCAAATATTTAATATTTAAAACTCAGAGGAGAAAGATAGACACAAGATTCAAGCATGACTTCGTCATGTTAAAACTTGAAACAGGATGATCCCTTCCTGTCCCCTACCCCCAGCTGGAAACAGGATGATCCCTTCATGATATTTGTTTTAGGAATATCTGTCTCCATAGTCATGAATTTGCAAAAAAAAAAAAAAAAAAATCATGGTTAAATTCAAGCTGGAATTTCATGCCTCAATCATGATTTATCTAGTCAACACAACTTTAAGTATGTATATTCAGAATCCAAGACATAGTCAAGAATTGCAAAGACAAAAATGCACATGTGGATTTAACTCGCCCAATGTGAGGAAATGTGTAAACGGAGAAAGTGTGGATATATCTATCATTAATTTAATGGTAATTATGTTTACAAGATAATTTAATAAAAATTAACAGTGAAAATACTCTTAATTTTTTACTTCACATCTTTTCACTTTAGAAGGATAAAATCTATGTATGGACTTGCACTGACAGAGTCTTTTGGTTAGAATTTAGAAAGTCAACCAAAAAAATATAAGGATAGCCCGAGTCAAAGCAACTGATCTAGCAAAAACCATGCAAACCCATGGCAGTTTTAAATGAACAATTTTTTTTACACAACCACTTTAACTCTTGGCCAATTTAGATATCTCATGCATGAAGATCAGCCTTTTTTCCATTGTTTCTTCAATGTAACCAGTCAATAAATCATCAATGTACAACTTGCAAACCAACACCTCTTCAAACATAGTTTAACTTTAAGCTTTTAATCCATCAAGTCTCTTGGCCTTAACTGATACTCAAATATTGAATTGTATCCTAATCTCTTAAATCTTAGTTGCTGTTTGAAATCAATTAAGGAGATTAAATTAGGAAATACATAACAAAAGAAACTAAGTATTCAAATTCAGATCCAATTATCCAAAATCCAGATGAAGCCTGATGTCCAGCTCAACAAAATATTGCCTATAACACCCGAAGTTGGGGCGTGATTTACTAATTTATCATGTTCAAAGTTTTCAAAGAATCTGAGTAAGATAAAACTAGGATTATGTGCTATCTCAAGGAAAGAGTG